CCCCCCATTAAAAATGAACCGATTGCAGATGTGAAAGAGACATGCGCTGGAAGCCACTTTTGAGGAAAAAGCAAATAAACAGAAAAAACTTCACAAAATTCTGTGGTTTTATTTGCTCCTTTTCTATGATCTTCACTTCAAAACACACCACCATGCCCTTTGAGTATAAGGTTGATCTGATTTACCATTGTTTTTAGAAGAGCAAGAAAATTAAGGAAAGAAGAAATTCTGCAAGAAAAAGAAAAAAGATGCAATCATCTTGAGTGTGAAAGAATAACATATGAATTTCTTATTTTACTTCCATACAGGCATAATGTAAGAACATTTATAGCAGTAGCTATGTCTAAAAATTCGTCACCAACCTCTCCATAAGTAGGAAGTTGTTTCACCAAACTTCCTCACCCTAAACAGCCAAGGTAGTTTCACCTACCTCTTATGATTTCTAACATAAAAATACAACAAATCTAAATGACTTTAACAAAATATCCTCCAAAATTGAAATACAACAAAATCTAAATGACTTTAACAAAATACCTCCAAAAATTGTCAACAACACTTGCATCAATAGCTGTAGCTGTAACTTTAACAATTTGAAAACTAAAAGCGACCAACTGATTAGATCAAATCCAATCACGTTCCTATCAAAAGTAACATGCCAAAATTTTTGGAGTTCATTCAACGCAATTTTTGGAATTCATTTAAGGCTTGGCACTGGCAGTGTTAGATTAATCTTTTCATAAGACAGAATTCTGGTAGATTAAATGAAATTGGTTTTCAAATGACCAACCCACATGGATATATACTAATTTTTATGCACATCATTTTCCCAGATACATGTAGAGAGACCTAAAATGTGATGGTCTCGATTTTTCTCCATCTCTACTCTCCTACTATACTGTTACCACTTCTCGACAAAAAACTTCAAATATTTTTGCTTTTTTAGTAGTCTATCAATTCCTCCGTCGCCTCTACCACTTTGCGAATTCTTTCTATATTTTCTGGTGAATGTTGGTTTTTCTACTTGTTTTGGATTGCTGGCAATTATATGAATGTATTTTATGCTTTTCCATTGTGAATTTCATTATCTACTATGTCATCTTCATTTGTATCGTTTGATTTTGTTACCTGCCACGCATCATGGTCAATTTCATCATCTGGTTATTCGATTTCTGGAAATTTTGCTTTATTGTTTTCTATGTTAAGTTTATGGTTTTTGAATTGAACAGTGTTTGCTGTAATCTTTTTGATATGGTCTATGTCAAATGTAAAATCAAGATTCATCTGTTCTGCATACATGGGACAATATGATGAAATCGGTAAATTCCGTTAAAAAAGAAAAAAGAAAATCTAACTGTAAACTGTATTATGATGATTCACCTAAAAGAGCATTCATTTCATATTATTAGCCCCTGAACCGATTGGGATTTTATGTTTGTGGATAGAAATGCAACAATATTGGGATTTGCAAAGGGCGAGTTTCAATCTGAATGGCTTCAGGCAATTTTATATGAAACTGACATTGTCAGACAGATGCTTTGAATCTGGACCAAAAATGTCCTAGAAATTCATATGGGGCATGAAAAATTCTAGAAAAAAAAAAAATAAATAAAGGAATGCTGTCTTGAGAACAGCAAGAAAATCTAGATGTTAGAGGCAATAACAGATAGCAATAGATGGGTGAGGAGAACCTGAGGATTATAGAGCTGTGTTTGAGAATGCTTATCCTATTTCTGGATGGATCCAATCTGGCTCTCTTTGGGAGCAGTCTAATTTTCTTAGCTCATCAGGTGAACTGTCTGAATCTGGACTACTGGAATAATTTGGTACTGGTTCTGAGAGATTCTGCCTGCTAGGCAGCTAATATTGTAACAGTAGTTGGATCTTGTGGAATAATACACCAGACTCTAGAGTTTGGGTTTTGGTGAGTTTATTTTAGAATGGGGATTTTGCTAGTAGAAAAACAGATGAAGATGAGATGGAGCGATAATTTTTTGCCCTTGGAAGACCTTATTGTGAACATTTTACACAGAATTCAATGTCTTATGGTTTTGGAAATTACGATGTACGTAATGCAATGAGACATTGCTGTAATATACCATGGCTACTGTCTAAGGTCCTGAAGTACTAGCAAGCTGTTGGCTGTTCTCATGCTTTAGAGTTTTGTGCAGTATAGGGCTTCTTCAAAGTCTTCTGATTATGTATTAGGACTTGAGACTTGGTTTATGAAATGGAAATCGGATATTCATGGACAATTTATTGAAGAGCTTACTGTTCAATGTTCATGCATTTTTCGGTGTACATTTATTGATTTCTTAGTTTGATATTTTATGTAATTCAACTGGGTGTTAAAATTTAAATGTTTAGATTATGCACTTCCAAAGTTTGCTCCACCCACTGTGGCATCCTATTATGCTGCCTCGAGGAACTCGACATGTTGAAGAGGCCCACACTTCCCAAGTTCGCCAAGAAAGGTTTAGATGATATTTTTGCAGGTGCACATACTATAGAATTCACTTAATCCTGTAACCACTGTTATAGTTGTCATCATAGATGCATGAACTTGCAGATGGTGCTTTTTTTTCTTACCCGCAAATAATATTTTATTTGTTTTATTAATAGAGTCCGGGGAAAAGCATAATATAACTAAGAACTAAACGCAAGTCAAAAGGCTCTCCACATACGCCCAGAACATACTCAGTTATCCTAAGTTCGAGAAAAACTTGCAGATGGTGTAATTAATCACAGTGGGCGATAAATATTGTATAAGATGTTTTATTACTCTTTCAATCAACTTCTTTACCTGTAGATGTTGATGGTTTCAGAAAATTTATGCTCTATTTTCTGATCATGACAAAACTTAACCTTTATCTATATTGGGATGGCAATGTTATTATTATCTGTGAACTCATATCTGTCTGCGAAAAAAAAAAAGAGAATCACATTTAATAAATCAAGGTAGAAAAGTAGTATTAGGGAATAAACAATTTTTGAACTATATAGCTATGTTAATGCTTAGGGAACACGCGTACTTTTTGCTGGTCAGTTTTCAGGATTCCCTAGCATTTTCTTAATGGTTGCAGGCATAGCTTTCAATCAGATTTCTTCAGCCAAACACATTAAACTTTCGGTTAGCAGTTACTTAACGCAAGTGTCTTTGTTGGTGTCATAATTCCTAACAAGTATAATGTTTTCTGCCTCATACTAGCCTTGGCGCTGACATGTTAGAATGGCCAACAAGGCACTATTACTTAGAACCCAGTATGGTAATTTTTTTCATACTTCTTTTACTATGTGTGTGTATATATATATATAGTAAATCTACAGAACTAAAATGTTATTTGACTTTTGAGAGTTGATGATGTCTAGAACTGTATTGGTATAATATTGCATCCACTTCCATTTCCATATTACACTCAATGGTATTGATTACTTTGATGAATCCACCCATAGGTCATTATACCACAGCCTAAGCCCTGTTGGGAAGCAGTGTTTGAAGAAGTGTTTAGTGTTTTGATTATGTCAAAATACTATTTTAATTAATTTTAGTGTTCGGTAATATAATATCAATCCTAGCGAGACAGTATTTCATTTCATGAAACGTTATCTTCATTAACATTTAGCGTTTTCTAATTTTTTTTATAACACCTATACCCATAACTTGTTTTTACTTTGTTTCCCGTTGTCATACCCTTTTTGTCGTTTTATATTAAACAGTTAATCAAACAGTTATTTATATCGAACACTTTTATTCTAAATCGATTTATAAACAGCTAGCAACTATTAAAACAGCTAATTAAAATTGCCGAACAGACCTAGTGTAAGGTGTTAATCTCCTGGTCCCAAGTTCCCTAAACTATTCAATCAATAATGGCCAGTTAGTTTTTTTTTGTCGTAACCTCTTCAAACCCTCTCCAAAGCTAATGACTTATTGGTCTGTTAGCGTCTTTCGTTGATGCCTACAAAATGGGCAATAGTCTTGAGTTGCTGTGTCATGTGGGGTAAGCACACAAACTGAACAATTGGAATAGTATTGAGGATGTTAGGGTAGTCAGCATTGAATTTGGCTTGTTTTAGGAAAAAAAATGTCTTGGGATGTAGAGAACAGTGGGAGGTGAGAGTGGGGCAGAAAGAATTTAATGAGCTGTCTAGGCCTGGTGATTTGCAAGGTGAATATGGACATTTTAAACTTGGAAGTCTGAGAGTTTAATGTTGACAATACAGCTGGTCTCATTACTTTCTCTCTGGCGTATTTTGTTTTTTTTGTTTTAGATATTAATCACAAAGAAAAGCTGTTTTCATATTGAAATAGATTTTAAGTTTCAACTCTGTAGTTGTGAGTTTCAAGTTGTTCACCCTCTGTATTAGATGCTTTTTTTTTCTCCAATCTTTCAGGTTTGAACTTTCTAATATGGTTTGGTCTTGAGCAGCATTGACATCCTGAGCCTGAGGTAGTTTACCAGCTCATATGGGACCAGTTTTTCTCTCATTAGTCATTACATTCCAAACATCATTTTGTTTTCAAAATCTGAACCTGGACTTTGTTATGTACTTACCTGGGCAAAATAGTGTAACAAAAAAGACGTTATATCACCATCATATTAAAGTGCCAGTAAGGCTGAGGTGGACTGGGTTTAGAGGGCCACTTTCTGGGCCAAGTAAATGATAGATGGGCTTGGAATATATTGTTGTACACTTGTTTAAAAAAAATTCTGATATTGTCATTGGCTAAACCCTAAATTATTAGATGCAAGACACTAGAACCATGTTAGTTTATGCATTTGAAAGACAAGAAGAAAGATTGGAAACAAACAAAAGTAAGGAAAAAAAACTGAGTAATATTCAAACTTCAAACAGAACCAGTAGGTGTAAAAGTTTGGGTGGCAATAAATGAAAAAGCTATTATCTAATTCTACCCACAACCACACGATGCACAGTGAAAGAAAAGTAAGCAAATGACTCTTTATTTTTAGTGGGGTTTTTATTTTTTATTTCTTTTGCAGGTTTTTGCGCAGGTTTAGCAAAAGTGTTGGCTGGCTACTGTATAAACTATCAACCTCGTTAGCAACATCATAGGGATGTGGGCCGATGTTTCTTAAATTCCACTGTTCTCTTTCTCTTTTATATACTTGCCAGCAGTGGAAGAGAAGAGAGTGAACTGTGAAGTGGAAGTGGTCCTTATGATAATGTATGTACTCTTTCATAAGTCTTTATTGTGCCTCTTTATATCATCTTGCTCATCACATGCCCTACCCTAGAGGCATTTACTTGTGGACCCCTGTATAGTTGGGATTGATGTTAACATTCAAGTAGGAGTAGAACAGTATTCTTTTGAATTTTGGATTACTCTCGAGATTTTTTTTAAAATTTTTTTATTTTTTAGTGAAATAAAGGCACATGTTGTACCATTTTTAATTGAAATGGCTTGTCTTTGTCCCATTTCCTTTCTTTTTCTATACAACAGGTTTAAATTGGAGTTTTCGAGGGTAGAAATGTCTTTGTATGAAATTAGCAGAGGTTTGTCAATTCAAATTGGTATGAAAACTAGAAGAAAGAAAAATGTGGTTGGTTTCCCATTTGCTTGATTTTTTATGTTTTTACATATAAACTAATCCTTAGTCTAAAGTTAGTTGAGGTCAGGTCTTTAATTAGTTTCCATTCCACTCCGTTCATCGCTAAGTCTGCACTAGATATATTCAAATCCTCATCTAAAGCATCCAATCATTAATATTACATGTATGTATGAAACCTTCATAACTGCTTTATTCTTATTATTTACCCTTTTGATGCTCACAGCCACACACTCAAACTGAGCGCCTCTTAACAGGTTCCTTTTTATCCCTTTATATTTTGAAGGTCACATGCACCATATACTTTGTGTATGTATATATATACTTTTGCTCTTGAGTACAAAATTTCCGTTAGGTACATTTTAGCATTTAGTACTAAAGCTCACTGCACTATGGCAGCTAAAGAAAGAGTTTTTTTTTTTTTTGGTGCTTTGTACAGCCGTTGGATGGCATAGATATAAAAGTAGGTGCAATAACAGTGCTGGACCTGTTCTACTTGCCCTCTATAGGCAAAAACTAGATAAAAGCTCAGGAAATAGAGTTTCCCAGTATAGTTTGACAACATTGCTCTACCTTTACATATATTACTAAATTCACCTGAGTTCCTCCAATTTTCTATATCATTGCTTTCAGTTGACTACTAACTAGTGATTAAATATCACTTTTTATGAAAAGCATTTAGGGTTTACAGTAAATGGTACTGGATTTTTCTTTTGGTCATACCCATTTGGACTCATTTATGATTTCTATTATACATGATTCAAATGTACAGATGGAGCGAATTTTTTTAAAATTTCTCTTTTTCTTTGTTATGATAAGCAATTAGGCTGCATGTTTATAACAATGATTATTTATTTATTTTGATTATTTATCTATTTTTCCTTCAAACTGCTTTGTTGCAGGAGAATAATTAAGTTATAGCTTATAAAAATTATGTTTCATACGTACATGTATTGAAAACATCTTTAATGGCAAATTGATCTATTTCTTCCTTTACAGACTTCAATTTCTTTTACTTGTCTTGACTTAATACTTCATCTTGAACTTCTTAAGCCAATTTTAGAAAAATTGAATTCTGAAATCCCTTCAAAAATTTAATATTTTCATAGTCTCTTTCTCCTTTTCCAAGATTAGGTCTCCTATTGTATTTATATGGTTTTGGTTTAATAAATGATGGTTTATGCTGCTTAGCGTAGCCACCTTGTTTAAGTCAACCAAAAGAGACTACAATGATACTTCCATTTGTTTTTTATGTTCTTTATTGTACTTATTACCCACGGTTGATTTTGAAGACTTTAAAATTAAGTTCCATTTGTTTTTGTTTGAAAAATATTTTTTTAATATTTTTTGGTATTTGGCAAGGCTACAGTCATCGTAAAGATTTTTTAAAAAGGAAAAATTTTGACAAACTTGTTACATTATAAATACGCATTGTTAATTCATTAATCAGTAATTTTGCATAAAAGAATTTTATTAAATTCTATAAATTTATTTATGAATCAAAATTTTTATATTTGATGCACACAAAATTTCATTTTTCATATTTTAAGTTCTATGAAATTAATTATTTTCGGATCAAATTTTATTAATTAAACTTTCTTAAATTTTAAGTGAATTAGAAATATCTAACAGGAGTACTAGCTGAAAATAATGAATTCCAAGTGTAAATTAGTAAAAACATATATATGATTGATTTAAATATAAAATTATTTATAAGTGGATCTTTTTAATTAAATTTATCTGCAATGAAATTAATTTTTACAGAGATCTATTCTAAAAGCTAATTGTATCGTTGTAATTATTGAGTTTTGCATTCATACAAAGAGCAATTATTATCTGACAGTCCATTTTAAAAAAAATGACTTGGCAATAATATGGTATTGGAATTTAAATCTTTAAGTGCTTTTTAGCTTATCCTAGTTAGACTCGTACTTCAAAGAATAATTAGTTAAGTGCTTAGCAACCGAGCCATTCTTGCAATTGCATGATCCCCAGCTAAGCATATATGAAATTGTATCTATGAATTACTCTTGGCTAAAAGTTACAAATTGAAGTAAAATTGTTTTTTGTTTGAATTTTGATTATACCTCTTAGCATTTATTTAAAATTAGATGCACTGACATTAATATTTCATATTTAGTTAAAATCAACGTTAACTGAAAAGATTTAATCATTTTAAGTCTATTATACAATAACATGTTTATACTCTCAACGTTGAGATCAAATGACAGAGATTTTTTCTAATTTAATCAGAGATCTCGGGTTCGAATCTAAATATGGAATCCCTTTAGACATCCATGAGGAAGCGTTTTGCTCCTTTCATAAACCTGCTCAATATAAATTTGGATTAATTGGACTAATAAGCTTATATATCAAATGGTTAAAAATCAAATATATATATATATATACACACACGTATGTATCAAGGTAGTAAACGATATGCATATTGAGTCGACCTATGGTGATTTTGAGGGAAGCATTTGATCATCCGAAAGATTGCGTTTATTGAAGTGCTTTTTTGTGGACTTATAAATGCTGACCTGAGGTTTTACTTTCCTTTCCATTGCAGCTTTTTAGAGACGATCGCTTTTTCTTCCTCCTTTCATATTTTTGACCGTTTTTACCACAATGGCTGATCATCCGAAATGATTATTCCTCTTGGTTATCTAAGGATCTTATTCATATTGAGTTGGAAATTGACTTTCAAATACTTGTCATGTTTTTAATAAGAAGAAGGCTGGGCCCCTTGCTCAACTTTCCTTCTCCCTTCTTGATGATTCTTTCCCCCTCTACCGTCTATCTATTAACGCATCTCTTTGGGAGAAAAATTTTTGGTTCTGGTTGAAATGAATCCCTCAAATTATTTTATCCACTAATTCTACGGACTTCGGCCAATTTTCGAAATGTAAGAAAATCAATTAATATATATGATCTACTGATAGCATATTCCATATTATGGGTTGCTCTTAAATATCTCAGCACTAACTGGTCCGATAGGCCAATTTGTCTATCCTAAAAGTTGAGCCTTCAATCGGGCGCATGAAATAATTTGATCCCGGGTACACCAATCATCGATCACTTTCATTAGCATCTTGATATCTTAACAAAATTCTAGCAGGTTCCACCAAGCATTTCAAAAAAGCTATTCAGTGCAAAATATCTTGTAGGTCCATTAGGCCTGTATCTATCAGGAGTGTCTTGGGATAAATCAATAAACGGGCGGAACCTGTTTGGTTCAAAAGAAGGGGATAAAAATAAAAAGAGTCCAGGAGGGAGAAAAGCAAAGATGTGAGAGATGTGAGAGAAATATAGAAAATTAGGAGGTTAGAAAATAAAAGAATACAAGGTGATTTGAATGCACGAGACAAACAGGTTTGTTTATATTGATTCGCTTGTGTATTACAGTGGTAGTTTTCTCTAGTGATAGGGGGTCCTAAGAGTATCTCTAAGTAAGGTGCACCTTTTAAAAAATTAATAATATATATGAATGCACGAACAAAACAGGTTTGTTTATATTGATGTGCTTGTGTTATTACAGTGGTATTTTCCTCTAGTGATAGGGGGTCCTAAGAGTTCTCTAAGTAAGAGTCACTTAAAAAAATTAATAATATATATAAATATATATTAATATATATATATATATACAATATTTACATTCTATGGGTTTCTATTTCTGCAATATATTTATCTTCAAACTCTTGCGAATTTGGAGCTCTTGGGGGGAGTTTATATCACCTACCACCTGATTAAAAATGTAATATTGTTTTCTTCGTACTGCTTTCTTTATAGGACATGTTAGCTTCAATTTTTCCCTTCTTTTTTCCTAATTTAGTTAGGCTAGTAAATATTATGAAATATTTTTCAAGTGAGTGACAAAACACAAATCCCAACGATATGGGTTACACATTCTTACAAAATTTGATACTATTGAGTTGTTTGTTGATTATTCACTGAATGATGCCCATTCAAATCTTGGAATTCTGACCTCTCCTGCATGCAGCTACCATAGTAACAGTACAATTAGAAGAAGACACAAAGATACAGTACTAATTTACTCCACTGAATTACCCCCAGTAAAAACCCAAGATATATATAATTCAAATCATCGCTGCAGTGAAATCTCTAATAGCGATGCCCATAATTAACATGAGCCAAGTTTAATATTTCCCAATACTAATCTCTAACAATTTTTCTATCAACGCTGTTCATAACAAGCTTTCATATGTCGGACTGACACTGTGATCTAAATAAGTTTAATGCTATCGAGGTCTGCAAACGAATTTCTCAATTTAAAATTAATCAAAAAGTCTTGAAATTAAAATTATGGGATAATTATGATAGGTCTTATGTTTAATACTTTCTAAGATTAATATCTAATAATTGTATGAATTATCATAAATGAGCTTTATAGTGTATAGTTTATAAGTTAATATTAAGAAGTCTACTTAAATTGTAGCATTGTACCATGAAAAAAAAAATATATAAAGAAGGTCTTACTTTAAATTGTAGCATTGTACATGAAAAAAAAAGAATATATTATATATATTATATATATATATATATATATATATATATAATTATATATATATATATATATATTAATGGTAAATTAATAGCAGCCTAAAAAGTAGTTTATAGTAGGAAGGAAGAGGAATTACACCACAAGTAATTTAGGCCGTATGAAAGAGAAGAAGATGCTCCCTGTCTCTTGGGACGTAGATAGGGATCTTAAAAAAAAATTCCAATTCTTATACTCATTCAAAAAAACTAATTACACTCCACCTAACTGTCTCTAATTTCTTTTCTCTCTGCGTCTCTCCTTGCAGGACGTAAAAGGCTTAATTACAGGCTACAATAAAAGTTGGCAAAACAAAGAACTGGGCTATGGGCTAAAACTTGACATTGGGTCCATTATGTTTACATATATATAATGTAATAATAGCAGCCTAAAAGTAGTACTATTAGGAAGGAAGAGAATTACACACCAAGTATAGCCTAATGAAGAGGAAGAAGATGCTGCCCTGTCTCTTGACGTAGATAGGAATCTAAAAAAAATCCAATTCTATACTCATCAAAACTAATACACTCACCTAACTTCTCTATTTTCTTTCTCTCTGCGTCTCTCTTGCAGACGTAAAAGGTTAATAAGGTACAAATAAAAAGTTGGCAAACAAAGACTGGGCTATGTCTAACTGACATGTCATATGTTACTTTAAGTATCAAAGCAACTGAGGACAACCTTTTCTAAGGGTTTGGTTTTGCCATTTTAAAGCCATGAAAGCTTTTTTGTACTAGGACCTCTGTATAATGAAAATTTTGTCCAATGCAGACAGGTAAGTAGATGACCACTCTCCCCTCCCCTCTCTCTATAAACCTTCTTCTATCAATATACATATACATATACATATACATATACATCATTGCTCCCAATATACAAACCAGCCTTGAAATTCATAGGTAGGTTCTACGTACTATTATTTATCTTTCTTTTTCAAAATGTTTTGGTTTTGTTCCAAGTGGACCTAAAATGGCCATATATGTTTTTAAGCTCAAATGTCTAATGACAAGGAGGATCCCACTTCAAATCTTGAAATAGATCACTTAAGGATTGATTGTCACATGCAAATATACTTACATTTAAAAATTTCTCAGATTAATTCCATCCAAAAATAAGAAAAATAAGAATATATTTATATATACATACTTGGGGAGTAATCAGAATTGCCCAAAACATTGATTCATGATAAATATATATTGGAAATTAAGGTATATATTTGTGGTACAGACCTTCGATATCGAAAAAAGAAAGCTTATATATTTGTGGTACCTGCAACTGTGCCATGGAAATATCATTTTCTTTCTGCATTTTATGCAGAACAGACATAAAAACCCTTATCGCCTGTTTTCCTCTTTTCTTTTTGCTTTTCCTTTTTGTTTTTTCAATCTCTGTGGAATTCTTGCACTGGGATCAAAACCCACCTTCCTTATCACTCCACCTGTGTCTGGACAAACATATACATATATACACACGTGTTTACCTACAGGATACAGACCTTCATGCATTCTTAACTGATACCCAGTTTGAATACACACACACACACACACACATATATATATATATATATTCCTCACACGTGTGACATATTCTGATTAGAGACAGAGAACTGGAACATGTTTTTGTTTCTTATACTATGAAGCTCCAATGATGATAATTAATAATGTACTGTAAGCATTTTCAAGATTGGTTCCTACTCTTACTCCTCTGAATTCCACAACAGCATAGATATAATATATAATATGTAAAATATACTTATTTTTAATTTTATTGTAGTTAACCAAAGTTTCATGATTATTTCGTAAATTATAACAAATAAAAAGTTCCCTTGTTATCAAATTACACCAGACATTCAAGAATCAAGAGCAAGGTGAATATGTGATTTCATTTACACATGAAAGCAATTAATTAATTAATTAATTAAAATACTAAAAAGGAGTAGAGAAAATGGGTTGTTCTTAGAATTGTCTCATTTGCAAAACAAAAGATTGACAATAATTATATAATTAGCAGCTCAAGCAAGAAACTCTCAAATTTTCTCTTTTTTTGTTCAGGTTATAAACATAGTAAAAAATTACAGATGAAGATCTAAACTCACATGGTCTTGTACGTTTGGCTTTGACTCATATCCATACCGTCCTTGAGAGCTTGACCCACTTACCGGCGATGGCTTCATTTCTTCGCCTGCAAATAATGGCACGTGATTCATTGGACGGTCACGATGAAGAGTAGCACTCGAATGAACTGCCGGAATCCTCCACAACCCTAATGGACTGCCATTGATAGGTTGCTGATGAGAGTATGTAGCTTGGCTACCATAAAACCTATAATTGTTGCTATTATTCGCATGACTATTCCATGAAGGGTAAGTGATTGCCGGAGTAGGATTTGCGTTAATCCTATAATTAACCAAGCCATAAATATGTGCATCGTGAGAAAGGCTGTTATGAACCACAGCTGACTGGAGATGAGCGCGTTTTGCGTGTTGGCGTTCTCTTTTATGTGCGTTTTGATGACCGCCTAAAGCTTGAGAAGTAGGGAAGTTTCTACAACAATAATGACATTCAAATCTTCTATTGTTGTCTCCATTTTCACTTTCTTTATTAGTTGCTTCTTCATTAGTTTCGGTTAATGTTGCTCCTGACTCTTCATGCGTTGTTGCCGTACTAGTACTAACATCGTTTCCTCCGAATTCTATTCCGAAAAGCCGAATGCCCTTTTCTTTGGCCCGCGCAGGCCTGATAAATGGAAGCTGAGAGAAAGATTCTACGTTCATGAAATCGTGAGTCTCTCTTTCGCTCTTATCCATGGAGGAAAAAGTGGACTATTTGTACTAGTTTTACGGGAACTTAATGGTTTTGTTGACGAGGAAAATGAGAACAAGAAGAGTAGGAGGAAGAGGAGGGGGAGGAGGAGGAGGAGGAGGGGATAGGAAAGGATATTAAGGAGGTGTGTATGTGGGGGTGGAGAGAGAGGGTTATGGACAAATGGGGCTGACCCATATGAGAGTGAGGGCTGACAAGGCCACAAGTTTTGCTGGTCAGAAAGATGATGAGAGTAGCTTTGGGTTCTCAAAGTGAAAGTACCATTTCTTTGCTTGCGTTCACTTATTTCTTTTCGGTTTGTTTCGGAAAGTTCCTAACATCTTTGGTAATTATGTTTACACAATCTCTAGTCTCTGTACCTAGCTTGTTCCTTAATGCTGATTAAGAAAAAAAATTTGCCTATGCTCGATTTGTGTTCATAATTTGTCTAAATTGTTCATCATTTGTCTAAATTGTTCATGATTTGTTATTGTTTTATTTTTTTTTTAAAAAATATGTATGCTTATTTTTATCAATTATGATCATTAATGTTATTATTTAATACATCCCATGTAAGCCAAGTGTTTTTGTGAACTACTTACAGAGAATTGCTCCTCCCATGCTTATGTTATAATAAATAGTTCCTCCTACTCTTGGTCACTTGTCAGTAATAATTGTCAAAATAATGGGATCTATGATTATACTTATTTTTTTAATAAAAAAATGAATGAATTATTAGAAAATTATGTAAAATTTGAACAATACGTAAAAATTATTTTATTAATTTTTTTCTAGACCATAAGCCCTAATCTAACCACATTTAAATGTGCTTAGATAATCTTGGAAGAAGTTGATAAACAAGTCAACTTTCAAAGGTAGGAATAATAATAATTTCTTTTAATAATCCTTCTTTTTTTTTAAACAACTAATATTCGTACCTCATTACTAGGAACCGCCTAATTCAGTTCAGAGCTTAATTATAGTTAAGGCTCATCACTCTTCTTTGCAGGTGTGTTTAGTGGGGATTGAACTTAAAAACTTTTTCCACATGTCCAACCTGCATTGCCAACTAAACCACAGCCCGTGCTATATTGCTTTTTATCAATACACTAATTGTGTTATTGATTGCTTAATTATCAATGTAATACGTGTTAATTTCTTATGTAATTATAGTTAAAGCTCATTACTCCTTCTTACATATGTGTTTGATGGAGATTGAACCCAAAAATTTTTTTTCACATTTCAGCTTGCGTTGCAGATTCAACCGCAGTCCGTGCTAAATTGCTTTTCATCAATACACTAATTGTGTCGTTGATTTTTTAACTATCAATTTAACACGTGTTAATTTCTTCTGTAATTATAGTAATGCTAACAACACAAAAGTACTATTATTAAAGTTCACTTCAGAGAAATGATAATCACTGCACATAAGTACTATAGCCAATTAAATATCGTTACAAGAGGGTGAACATATTCAAGAAAAGCACACATCACAAAAATCCCACGTGGATTTGTTTATAATTGAAATTTTGATGATGTGGCTATGAAATTCCTTGTACATACTTTATATGAATATATAGATTTCAGCACTATATGGATGACTAAAAAGTATTACTATATTTTCCCGGAAACTTTTTTTTATGAAAGCTCCAATATTTAATTCAATTCTGGACATATTTCAATAATAAATTTAACATTTCCATGCATCAATTTGTAAAAAAATAATTTTTCAGTTTACTATTTTTTTTTTTCTCAAACGTTTTGAAAAACTAAATGGTTCTAAAAATTTGGTCCAATTATACTTTCAATAGAAAAAATTCGGTTTAATTTTGGTCATTAAAAATATAAACGACCAAATTGATTTAATCTAAAAAGTAAATTAAGACCAAAAAATTAAATTGAACCAAACCGGTCAATTCTATAAACAATTCGTTTTGGTGATTTTTTTCTATACTACTAATTATTGAACCAATTGAATACCCGCTTCTAGATAAAACCTAGGAAATATTTTTTTTTTTCAAAGGTATCAGATAGCTTAAAATAGAAAAAAATATATCAGGAATTAAATTTGAGGGCTTAATCAAATATTAATTTGTAAAATATTTCCATTCAGATAAAAATATATAAAAATGAAAATAATAATCACTATCATGATGATAAAATATTCGGTGGGTTTTTAATCTTTGTATTATTTGAGAATAAATCCAAAAAGAAGTTCCTTAGATATAAGTATGATAACAATTAAATATTTAGTTAAGACAATATAACATATAGAGACCAGAGAGAGAGAGAGAGAGAAAGAAAGGATAGTGAAGGTTTACCACACTTGTTTCCTTCAAAACCCTATTCCATTCTTGCAAATAGCATACGTGTCCCCATCAATCAACACCCACGTTAGTAACTTATGATAAAGAAAGAAAGAAAGAAAGAAATATATATATATATGTATGTGTATTATGTAATCTCTCTCTTGGACCAGGTAATAGTAGTTGGTGTTGGTTCTTTATAGCTGTTGGCTGTTTTTCATCTGTTGCGAGATTCTGCGAAGTGGTCCTGTGTTACCCATATTACACGAATGGAGAGAAAGAAATATATATAGAGGTTTACCACACTTGTTTCCTTTCAAAAAACCCTATTTTCCATTTTCTTGCATAGGCTACGTTTCCCCATTCAATCAAACACCCCACGTGGTAGGGTAACTTATGATAAGAAAAGAAAGAAAAGAAAGGAATATATATATTTATTGTATGTGTATTTATGTAATCTCTCTGCTTGGACCAGTTTAATAGTAGTGGGTGTTGGTTTCTTTATAGCTGTTGGCTGTTTTTCAATTCTTGTTGCGAGATTCTGCGAAAGTGGTCCGTGTACCCATATTTCGGAATGAGAGAAAAGAAATATTATTATATTTTATATATATATATTTATATATATATATATATATATATATATTATATATATATATATTTATATATTATATATATATTTCCCTCCTCTCTGTTACAAAGTACAAAGCACTTCTCTCATTTTAACTTGCTTTCTTTTTTGTTCCAGTGACTTCAATTATATAATATGTTTTTTTATTAAAAAAATAATAATAATTTGGTAATTGAATGCATTTCTTATAATATAAGATATGGGAGATTCAAATTTCTTACTCTCTTATTGTTTTTAAAATTTTTTTTAAAAAAAAAAGTATGCCCGAGCCGAGTTATTTAGTGTAAATATGTTTAATATCCATTCTTTATGTCTAGTAAATCGTTTTATTTATTTTTTAAAAAAATATTTTGCTTTGAAAATGAAAAACAAAATGCCTATTTTTTTTTTTTTTTTTTACTTTCATTTATGTATATCATTACTAGCAAGAAAAAAATGTATAAAGAGAGCTTACATGTATTTTTCTTAGAACATACCCCATATGGATAGATGGCATTTAATTATACAAGTATAAATCTTTGTTATGTAAATAGAAAAGGGTATTGTTTCTTTCTTTCACTTATTCCAAACACTAGCAGGAGCAGAGCAGGACCAACCAACCAACCAACCAACCCTTTTTCAAAAACCGCTGTTTAGCTTAAAAGGTTCTGTTTCTTCTCACATTAAGGTACAAGAAATCGTTGAAGGCCAATCTTTTTTACTTTTTCTTTGTGCGTGCTCAAGTAGTTTCTTATTAGGTTCTATCTAAAATGGTAATTTAATGATACTTCTGGTGTCCTTCTTCTTATAAGGAACAGTCTTCTGCTTTATTCATGCATTCTTGACTCGTTTCAAAATTGTTCTCTCTCTTTACCTACCCATGTTCAAGATCCAGATCTGACCGGAACCGATCCAGGCTGTGGTGGAGCCAAGATTCAGCCCTAGAGGGGCTAGAAAAAAAATAATTCACCAATTAAAATTAGAAAAATTAATTTTGAGTGAGGGGGCCACCTGTTTCTTCCTCGACTGGATCTAAGCTTGAAATGGAACCAAAACCAAATCAGCTCGTTTAAATGTGGTTCGGTTTTGATTTTGGTTAGGGATATAAGATTTAGTATTAGGCTCTGTTTGTTTTCATAAAATGACTTGCAGAAAAAATACTTTCATAACTTTCTGTTGTTTGGGACAATCAAGAAAATAAGCGAATGAAAAATATTTTTCGAGTCAAAGAAAAATTAAGTCATTTTTAAAGAAAATAACTTCTCATCTTTAAGAAAATAAAACATTTTTCAGATACCGACAAACTTATTATCATCTTATAAAAGCATATTGTTAAATTATTAATTACTGATAGTCACTACTATAAGTTACCTTTCACTGCCAGCCACCACCACGGGTCATTGGCAACTGTTATAATTTATCATTTTTTTATATTTTTTTTATATTTAGCAATGAAATTTTTAAACTGAAATTCTATATATTATTATAATTACTTTTATGATTTTAATATTTTTAATTAATTTTGAAATTACAACTAAACAACAAAAAATATTATTCAAGAAAAATATTTTTCAAATGTAAATTATTTTTTGAAAACAAACGAACCCATACACTTTCTCTTCTAATTAATAAATTTAAGTAACTAAAGAATAATAATGTCAAATATAAAGAACTAAATAATTAAATATTATAAAATATTTGATAGTAAACGAAGGATTTTAATAATTAATGAAATTAAATATTAGATATTAAGGAATATAAATTTGAGGGATAAAAAAGTTATTTACCGGTATATTACAACTAATACAGCGATTAATTTGTTAATGAATCCAGGGAGGGACAAGTCGCTTTCCTCTCTTTTGTGAATCATTATTTCTTGGGGTCTGCCATTGATACGATCTTTTCTTAGATTGCTTTCTGATTGGGCAGAAGTGTAATTACAAAATTTATTTTTATTTATTTATTTATTTAAAATTATAGGAGTTAATGGAAGTGCCTTTGATGGATAATTACAAGATGTGAAGTGGTGGGGCCAGCCATATTTGCTAACCCTAACAACAATAATAACCCTTCATTGATTCACGCAAAGCCCCTAAACCTCTTCTTTGCCATTAGAGTCACAATCACACTAACGTTTTTATGGCTTCAAATGGGGACCATCTTTTTTAATTAATTTCTTCTTTTTCTTCTTCTTCTTCTTCTTCTTCTTCTTCTTCTTCTTCTTCTCCTTCTTCTTCACTTGAATGCAACTCAGCACTTGGCAACTGTTTCCCTTTGCCTCTTGATGTGGCAACATCTTATGCGACGTTTCTTCACTCATGAAAATGAATCACTTCAATTTGCATAACTTCATTTTTGAATGCCTTT